CCCAACGACAGTGTCACACATATGCTGCCACGTATGTACCACGAGGACCTGTAAAATGGGTGTCCCCAATGGTGAGTGTCTGCAGAGGAGAAGGGGGCCAGGGCTGGCAGGGAGTTTCTTTCCCTTGCATTCTTTTGTCTGACTGAACTGTACAATTGCACGTCCACACAGATTACTGATGTAACTGAAATGGGAAACCCTCAGGCCGGTGCACTCACTTTGCAATGGCCTCGTCCCGGTCCCTGATGGCCTTCTGAAGCTGCTCCTTTGGCTCCTTGTCCTCCGACGTCACTCGGAGTCGGTCTCTCTCTTCCTTCAGCGCAGTCATCTCCATACTCAGCAGTGTCACCTAACGGGGGCCCAAGGAGAAGGGATGTGATCCTGTCACTGCTGACGGGACACTGTCACTGCTAGTGGGGGTGGGGGTGGCAGGAGGGGGGCGCTTCCTGTGACGGAGGTCTCTGAACTTCAGGAAGTCTCTCCAGAGGCATGAATGTCCTGTGCTGGGCCTGGGTACAGTCAAGGGGACAGTAGGGGTCCCCGGCACTGTGGGTAAACTATGGTAGGCTGCCATACATGGCCATGGGCTGGGAAACACAGCCCTTGGACTAAGGTCTCAGGTTTGGTGTCCAGTCATCTTCCTCGCAGCATGTAGAGCTGCCGTCACACCAAGAGCCTCATGGCCTGGCTCCTGCCCCTCACCCCTGACCCAGCGGGCCACGTCTTCACTCCCCCCCTCCCCCCCAGGTCAAAGCTATCTTTCACTTCAAATCAGCCCTTGCTGTGGCCTGTGCTTTAGTGACTGAACCATAGCCGCCTCAGGCCCTCATCCTAACCCTGGATCACCTGCCCTTCCCAGGGGCTCCCCGGGTGGCCCAGCTGATCCCCTCCTGCACACTCTGGGCCCTGCTGGAGCCCGGCTATCGGCAGTGTCCCATCTCAGCACGTTTGCCTTGGACGTCTGTCACTTTCTGACTACTCGGCACCCAGACACCTCTCTCCCGGGGCATTCCTGCTTGTGCTCAGAAAGGAATCCCGGGGTGGGGAGACCCTGCCTCCCTGCTCACTTTGAGCATGTTCCTGCGGCTGATTGGAAACCCACCACAGAGCTCTCGGAACGTCTGCTGAAGGGCTGGCGAGGCGAGGCGAGGGGGTGGGGGTGGCCTTGCCTCTTATGGCTGCTTAAGTTCAGAGAGGAGTCCTGGGGCCTGGTCCTGCCCTGTTGTTAAGTGTCACACACACAGTGACAGCTCTCTGGCAGGGGGACCCATCCACACAGCCTGCCTCCCTCCCTCCAACAGCGCACAGGCCACTCTGCAGCCAGTCCCCTCCTCCGTTCTGGACCAAGCTTCCTGGAGACTCGAGTGTCCCTGGGGGTCACCAGCCCCTGGGGAGCAGCCCTAGCCAGAATTCAGTGGGCACCCCACACCGCAGGCTTCTGCTCGCAGGACTGGGGCAGGGACACGGCCTGGCTGTGCACTGTACTGAGGGGGTGAGAACCAGTCAGCAGGGACAGTGGGCACACTGGTGTCTAGCCCGAGGCAGACAGCCACCTCTGCCGTGTGTACTGCAGCTTCTGGGGCTCTGGCAGGGACAGACTGTCTAGGTGGGAATGAGCCCTGGGCGTGGCCTCAGGGCAGCCAAGGACCTGGCAGGTGCTCAGCCCGCTGAGAAAGGAGCAGGTGAGGCTACGGTGAGGTAGGGAATGCCAACACGTAATCCGCTCCAGCTGAAACTGCGGGAGAACCCGGTAGAGGCAGCGCTTCCCTCCAGTCTGCTGTGGACGAGGGATGAGAGATGTTATTGCTTGTAAACTTTCTCTAAAAGAGGGGACTAAAAGTTACTCTTTTCCTTCGTCAGATGGCTGTGCGTCTTAAACGAGTTACACAGTACTCAGGGCCTGGCCGGGTGACTGGCAGATGGCCGGCAGCTCTCCTGCCTCTGTCGTTCTGAGGCTGAGCCTGGCTGGTTCGTACATCGAGTGAGGAGGCTATTTCCAGAGTCCCTTTTCCCAAACACAGTGGCGTCTCCCGGAGACCTGAGGCCCCTTGCCCATTGCCACAGACCCGAGCAAGTGCACAAGCAAGATGAACTATGAATGAGGGTCAAGTGGCGGGGGAAGGGGTGCTCCCCAGGGTACCAAGGGGGCTTTAAGGGGGAAGTAACATCTGACAGAGAGCTTGAGGGCTAACGGAGTTGAACTACATGCAGCTGGGAGGGGAGGGTCTTGCGGGCAGAGAGCGGAGGAGGAGACCAGCCCCAGGTGTGGAAACGCTCAGGCAGGTGTGCCCCCCCCTCCCCACCGAGCCCGTGTTCTCACTGCTAACATGGGGGGGGTGGGGGGGAGAGAGAAGGCTGGTTGGTCAGAAGACCAGGCTGGCGGCCATGTAGGGATTGATCATAGGGAGCCAGCTGAGAAGTCACTAGATTCTGGTGACTAGAAGGATAGGCCAAATTCAAGTCCTGCTTCAGGCAGATCCATTCCAATCAGCTGGGGTAAGGCAGGGGCGAGGATGAAGGGCAGTGACCCCCGCAGGCTGGGTGAGCGCAGGGAGGCGAGAGCAGGCACCGGCTGAGTGCGGCGGGAAGGGAACGTGCCGGGGTGTGTAAGGTGTTCTAGTGAGGCCTGGAGTGCACCCCAGAAGGTTCTCTGGTGCTTCCAAGTCCAGTTCTGGAGTCGCTGGCGTGCAGGCTCGTAAAGGATCCCAACACCAGGCCTGGGGTTTTCCCACGGAGCATCCTACAGCTGTCAACACGGGCCCTGAGCAGAGAGGTGAGTTGTGGGGGAGGGGAGGCCCATGCTGCCCACAGGAGGGCATGGGGCTGGGACTTGGGTGCTAATGCAGCGGGAGAATGGCACAGGCTGGCTTCCGGGTCAGGCTGTGGTCTCCCCTCGGCCAGCCTGTTACATTAAACTCATGCGCTCTCGTTAAACGTGTGATTAGGCTTCTGGCAGTTTTGTGACATCCCAGGTCCTACACCCTTTGCCTCTGGGGAGAAGAGTGTTTACTCAGGTGGGGAAGCAGTGGGCTCTGAGCAGGGACCCTTGAGGAGGAGAGGTGCTGTTGGGTGGAACCTTGGTTCCACCTCACCCTGCCCCACCAGGGTCCATCTGCCCCCTCCCGAGAGAGTCCCGCTGGCCGGTGCCTCTCAGCATGGCTATGTTCTGTGGCTGCTAAGCTGGGTCGTGTGAACACTGCGTTGAAGGCTGCCACCTCAACCTCACTCCCACAGTCCACCTGCACCCCGTCCCCGGGGCCCCTCTGGGGGAAGGTTTCCTGCATGGAGCATTAGGGGAGAGATGACCCCCAGTGGGCCCTGTGTCCATCTGCTCCGTGGATTATTTGGAAAGAGGTCCATGGGACTTGGCTGAAACTAGTGAGGGGGATTTTGAAGGCGCCCTGGTGGTGCCGTGGTTACAATGGGCAACCCTGAGGTCAGCGGTTCAAAACCACCAGTTGCTCCTCGGGAGAAGATGAGGCTTTCTACTTCTGCATAGAGTGACGGTCTTGGGAAACCCCAGGGGCGGTCCGACTCTGCCCTGCCGGGTCACTATGGGTTTGAACTGACTCAAGGGCAGCGGGCTTGGTTTTGGTTCCTGGCGGAGGTAGCTTCCTACAGAGTTCCGACACCAGGCTGACTCTCAACAACTACCGTTTGCTTTTGTTTCCGAA